GTCCAGTACTCAGGAGGTAGATCTCTGTGAGTTCAAGGCCAGGTTGGTCAACATAGTGAAACCCTGTTGTGGAATGTTTGTTTACACTGTGTGGATATGTGTCACTGTGGTTGGTTTAGTAGAGAGCTGAATGGCCAATAACCAGGCAAGAATAGGTGGGACTCTGGGAGAGAGAGAGAGAGAGAGAGAGAAACTGGAGAAGAATCTGAGGTGAGCGGGGAGATGCCAGCCAGATGTGGACCAAGTCAGACATACGAAATGGAGGATAGGTTAAAAAAGCCACGTGGCAGAATGTAGATTAATAGAAGCAGGTTAATTTAAGTTATATGAGCTAGTTGGGGCAAGCCTAAACTAAAGGTCAAGCTTTCACGGTTAATAAGAAGTCTCTGTGCCGTTATTTTTGGGCTTGCGGCCAACAGAGAAATTCCAACTACAGAACTCTGTTTGGAATAAAAGAGAGATATCTTTATTACAAAGAATAGGCCTGGATGGTTGGGAGGAAGTGCACAGATTTGTAGGTGCACAGCTAAATCTGAAACTCAGAGTCAATGACGTCAGCTCTAATGTGAAGGCACACAGGCTTGTGATTCTGGAGAATTGTCTTTCGGGTGGGTCACAGAGGTAGGAGAAAGGGCAATGTCTCTGATCAAAGACAGTCAGCCACGCGTGCCGCAAGGGCTCTCTGCTTAAGGCTAGTCCTTGGTTTATCTAGGCCTTCAGTACACGGGTCAGGTCCATTCACGTTAGGGAGATGTTTTATTCCATCTTCATATTAAATGTTTAATCTCATCTGAGAATAACTTCGTAGAAAGATGCAGAATATTACTGGACCAAATGTTGGGGCTCCCCCATGGTTCTATAAAGTTAACACAGAAATTAGGCATCATATATGCAGACCTACTTTCAACTCTCTGGGCAAATAAGTGAACTGTTCCAAGAACCAGCCTGCTTATCTACATGACTCGAATAAAAATACCTGGCTAATAAAACGTCAGCCAGATGGCCTGGCACTCAGCTATAGCACTTGGCAAAGTGGCTATCGCTGCTAAGAGGCTTTTTCTTTTTAATTCTTAGAAAATTTCATACATCTATGGAGTGTGTATCGATCCATCTTCACATCATCCCCACTCCCTCTCGTTCCTTCCACCCCATCTCCATTCCAACTCCATGTCTTCCTTTTCTGTTGTTTTAGTAGCCCAGGGCCAATGAGTGTTGGCCATATAGACATGGTTGTGGAGAATTCACTGGGAAGCCTACCATTAGCCATGGCCCCAAAAGAGAATAATGTTTTTTTTTCCCCTCGGCCAACATCAACTGCAAATAGCTCTGAGAAGGGTGGGGCCTCAGGGGAGCCCTCCCATCCTTGCTGGAATTTTGACTGTCTTGATCACAGGTGCTGTGAATTGGGCACATCATGTCAAGACATGCATGTCAATTGTGCAATGGCCACGTCATGTCAAGAAGTCAGCATTGGCCAGCTCTTCTTTCCGTCCACCAGCTCTTAAGTTCTGCACGTGCCTTCTGCCATGTTGCCTGAGCCTTGGGGGCAGGGAGGTTAATCTAGATGATTCACCCACAACTCAGAACTTACTTATGCTTGGCACTTTGACCAGTTATGAGCCTTGGCCCTAACTGCTACACCCTGCAGTAAGAAGTTTCTCTGACCGAAGTTGAGAGCAGCCCAAGTCTGTGAGGATAAAGATAATCATTTACAGGGTAGTCTGATAATACGATCATCTAGCAAAACAATAACAAGAGGTTCCACCCCAGGGCCACTGATCTCCCAGTCTTAGGCTTTTGAGCAGGTGTACAGCACAGCATGAAATCCCTCCTGTGAACCAGACCTCATATCCAATCAGAAAGTGATTGTTAATTCCCATACTCATCACTGCACCAGTGAGCACATCTTGCCACTCATGCCCGTATTGGCACATGCAGAGTCAAGTGCTAGCTGGTATCATGGATGCCTTTTCTCTCCCAGCAGCTTGCATAGCACCTTCTGGAAGCATATAACTTAGCCAACATACAGAGGGTTTCCCTGTCAGTCAAGATGGATTTCTCCATGTCCTGTATCCAGCGTGAGTGGTCTTTGGCAACAGGGTCTTATCATCTAGTTATGGTAGGCAACCAAGAGCAATGACAATGCCTTGTGTTGTTCTGGGTATCTCTGGGGTCTCTCTGACCAATATAGGCAGGTATCCCTTTTAAAAGAGAAAACAGACAAGCAGAAGTCATAGTGAGACAATCACAAGGGCGCTTTAACCTTTTGCTTGAGCATGACATTTGTGTAGATGGACTCTTTAGAAAACCCCACCTGGGTAAGACTTTTTAAAATAATATTTTTATTAATTCTTTAAGAATTTCATAAAATGTGTTTTGATCACATTCACCCCCCAGATCCACCCCCACTTACCTACTCACCCAACTTCATCACCTGCCCCCCTTAGCCCATCAAGTCCAATTTTTCTGTCCAAATGTTCTTGGCGATGGACCAGTCTCTGAAGCATGGCTGACTCACCAGGGCTCACATCCTTAAAGAAAACTGACTCTCTGTCTCCCAGAGGTTCTCAACTGCCAATAGCTCCTCAGCTGGGGGTGGAGCTCTGGGCTCATGCCCTCCTCTAGAGTGGGACTCTGTCTGACTTGCATTTGTGTGGGTCTTGTGCATGCTGCTACACGCTTGTCACATACTGTCACGAGCCATGTGGGGTCATCAGGGCAGCTACCCTGCTTTACCTGCAAACTCTCTTCCATTCTAGTCACTCACTCTTCCAGCTCTCCAAACCTTTCTGCCCTCTTTCACACAATGGTCCTGGATCACTGTGGAAGGATGTGAAGGGAAGGAGATGGCGCGGATGTCCCATTTAGGGCTGAGCATCCCACAGTCTCTTATTCTCTCCGTGGACCAGCTGTGAGCTTCTGGGTTAATCACTTCTAGTGCAAGAGGAGGCTTGAATGTCATACTAATCTTTGGGTAGAGCACTAAGTCGTTTGGGTTAGTTTAATACTATGCCCATCAAGCTGAGTAAAAGTAGTAGTAAGAATTTTAACTTTGAAAGCAGTGCCTTATCAAAGTCGCAAAGAGTATTTTCACTGCTTGTTGAATCTCCAGTACAAGAATAAGTTATGCCTGTGGGTACTTAGTCTAACAAGCCATCTTTGTGGCTGGAGAGATGGCTCCAGAGGTGAAGTACTTCCCCTACAAGAGTGCGGACCTGAGTTCAGAGCCATAGAACCCATATATATCTGGACGTGGAAGCACATGTTTGTAATAATCTCAGTGCTCCCACAGCAAGATGAGAGGTAGGGATGGGAGAAGCCTCAGAAACTTTGGGGCCAGTAGTGGAAGGCCAAGACTGTCGCCCAAGGTTGTCCTCTGACTGCCACATGCACACCATTGCAAGCGTGCGCTCATACTCTCACCCAAAATATGCACGCGTGTACGGACAAAGATTTTTTAAAAATATTTATTTATTTACTTATTATGTATACAATATTCTGTCTGCAGACTAGAAGAGGGCACCAGACCTCATTACAGGTAGTTGTGAGACAACATGTGGTTGCTGGGAATTGAACTCAGGACCTTTGGAAGAGCAGGCAATGCTCTTAACCGCTGAGCCATCTCTCCAGCCCTACAAAAATGTTTTTAAAGGGGAAAAGAAACTCATTTGTATATGTGTAGAGTATAGCGTGCTTGAAGGGGAAAAAAAAAAACTTGAGCAAATATTCTGGTGTCTTCCGCAGAACGTGTGCACAGTGTTGAGATGTTATATAAGCATGAGAGCTTGGGGAAGCTGAATGCTTTTACAGCCCAAGTGGGGAAGCAAGGAGGGAGGCTGTGGGTGACAGCATCTTTTACAAGTGACAGTCCTTGTTTCTCTAATGTGCTGCTTTAATATGAAGCCAATGGGTGGCTTGGAGCCTAGTAAATCAAAAATACATTTGAACCTTATTGATTAAATAACAAAAATCAAATCAGTCTTCTCCTGAAACCTATTTGCAGTTACAGGATATTACCTGAAATTTCAGGCTCTTGAGAGAGAAAATACCATCCAAATACAAGGTATTAGTTTAGAAGGTCTCAGACTCTTGTATTGACTTGACTCTTGGTTTCAAAGTCTAACGTTAGATTATACCTGCCCAATAAAACGAATGGCATTATCTACACACTGGAACGAAGAACCATCTTAAATCGTTCTTTTTCTAGGGACTTCTCAGGATTTTGTAGGATCTACTGAGGACCTCGCTTTAGGTTGCCTTAATTGGAAAAGGGGTGAGATGGAGGTTTAAGATGTAGAAGAAACGACCCCCTCTTCAAAGGGAGAAGGTTTCCCATATCTATTTCTACAAGATAATTAAGCTTATTATCCTGATGATAAATGACCCCCGTAGATCTCCTTCTAGACCTATAATTTTGTAATTCCAAGAATAAATCCTCTGTCTAGCTACCGAGGCAATTAAGGTAAGTCTCACACTCAGGCAAAAGTGAGATTACGACTGGAGTCCTGCAGATAATTACTATCATTCTCTGCTCCCCTGGCCCTGGAAGCCTGGCATCCTTAATCAAAGGAAAAGCCCTCTGGATAGAGCGAGCGGACGGCTAACTGCACACACAGAGATCCACAAATGAGCTGGGTACCACAGAGAAGTTGGCGGATGTGATCTCTGCCCCGCTGAATTTTATAAGTGCTGAGATGCTGGACCGAGCAAAAGAGATTGCCGTGCGTTGTGCACAATCTGAGTAATAATGACTAACAGGACTGCTATGAACAGGGAAGTCTTTCCAGAGACCACTGGAACAAACCACGCCTTCCTAGCGTGTGAAGGGGGGTCATGGCAGATTTGTAAGCAAAAGCATGAGGCTTCAGAAAACTGTCCTCAGCAAAAGCTCATAATACATCCCACTTTTTCACCCCCAACGGCTTTCCCCTCTGCCCTGCTGAACGTTCTCCTACCTTCCATTTACAAAGGATATAATACCCACTCTCGTATTCTGCCCTCTGCTTCCTCACAGCACACCCATCCTCCAGTCTGTGGTTGCCCGGGATGGTCGTAGGTAAGATATGGAAGTGGGTAAGCTGGGTGGTGTATAAGTACTCAAGATATGAACTCATCCCCAGGGGAGTAGTGGGGGCTAAAGAAGGCATTTTAGGCAACAGGCTGTGGGTCAGTGTGTATTTTCTGAGTATCTACTATGGACAGGAGTTTTATGCAGAAATGTTTTTCTTCTCTTTTGTTGGGGTTAGCACAAGTCACTGATGAAGATGTGGTTGGCTTCTTCACACTACTGGGGAACTGAATTTTCATTGTCTTTATGGGAGAGGACATGGTAAGATAAATGGCGGAAACAGAATTAATTTTTATAAGGCTGTAAGGAGTGAATGGGAACCAGACATAGTGAGTGACACATGGTATTAATCTCATGCCTTGGGCAGCAAAAGCAGGCAGATCTCTGAATTGAGCCCAGCTTGCTCTACAGAGAGTCCCAAACTACTACACAGTGAGACCCTGTCCCATAAAATAAGATGAAATGAATTAAGTGACTGGCTCCAAAGGAGTGGCTATTGCTTGAGAGCTGGAAAACATGTCCGCTTTACCATCCGTTGATCTGAGGAACTAAGGCTGACCTACTGCGTAGTCAGATACGAGGAAGATGAGACCTGGCATGAACTCATATCCAGGCCCTGGTTCCAGCGAAGCCAAGTTTAGATAGCTCAAAAGTTTCCAGATCCATCTAGTTGGCCCAAGTCTTAGTGGAATGAGTGCCGGGCTTGGTCTGCATCAAAGCCCTTTCTGACTAGCTTGTGGGGCCCCAGAAAGTACAACCCCAAACCATAAAGCTAGTATCCTGGGACCAGTCTCACCCTACAGGGAAAGGGAGCTCCCAGGTGGCTTTTCTGTTTTCACATCCTTCAGACAAAGCTGATCAGTGTCCTCTGCATCTTTTTTAACAGGTCCTGTTAGGCTCAACTCCTGTCGGATCCACCCATATCCATCCGTGGTGATTTCTATAACCTCCAAGCTTGCTTACCTGCCTCTCCTTTGCAATCCTGTGAGGGTCCCTTGGACTAAGTGCGTGAAGTCCTTTGATGAAGTTTGGAGTTCTTGACTGAGATCAAATCAAGAGGATGGCATTCTCTGAGAATATTAAGTGTTGGAACTCTACAGTTGATCTTACCCAGAAGTGACACCTTCCAGTTGTTTTGACTTGTTAAAGTAGTAACATGTCTCATCTTGTTAATTAGAGGAAATATAACTCGTTTTAAAAAATTAAATATTGCAAAAATGTCAGCATGTGACATAGAAGGAAAGCTTTCTGAAAAAGCTTAAAGCAGAATAAGTAATTAAGTTGAAGGGTGATATTGTAAGATATTTATATAACTACTTGAAATCATATATTAGTGCTCAAAAGATACATTCCAAATTCTTAGTGGTGGTCACTTTGGAGAGGTAGACTGACTGGATAATGATGCTATCAAGAGTCCAGTGAGAATTTCAAAATTATCTATAATTTTTGTGATGTCAGTTTTGTTGTTGTTATTGCTTTGTTTGTTTTTCGAGAAAGGGTTTCTCTGTGTAGTCCTGGATTTCCTCGAACTCACTTTGTAGACCAGGCTGGCCTCAAACTCACCGAGATCCACCTGCCTCTTCCTCCCAAGCCCTGGGATTATAGGTGTGTGCCACCATACTCAGGACGATGTGTTTTAAATAAAAAATCTGAAGAACAATTGACAAACCACTAACATCAGCTGTTCATTTGGAAGATATCGCACAGATCTGTTAGGTTTTGCTATCATATGTACTATAAAATGTTTCCAAATTAAATTTTTAAAAGTTAAAGCACTTTTCTAGTAAAATCAAACAAATTCAAAACTGTGAAAAAGATTAAACTGACCTATGAACTCACCATCTCCCAACTATCTGTGATATTGATTGCTAAAGTGATGATACTTTTTCAAATGGTTTTCTACCCCAGAATTTGTTGATATGCAATGCAGTCACTGGTTTTGCTGTGTTTTTGAGGTCCACAATTTGATTTCTGATGATAGGAAACAGGGAGAGCATCTTGTAACAGAGACTAGTTAAAAATATATTTAATTTGTGTTCTAGAAAAGTTGAGACTGGCACTAGGAGGGTGAATATGGGGTCCAACTTAATTCATGGACACAAAGGAAAGAATCTAGTGAAGAATTTTTCTTTCTCCAGATGACTGAGACCAACCGGCGGTTCTTATTGGGAATAAATCAGCTTCAACTTTATGTCTGTTACTTAGATCACCCACTTATAAAAACGGTAACATACCAGCTTTATTCTCTATCTTCTGTAAGATCTCTGGCTACTATTTCCCCCTTCTTTTTATGATTGTAAATAACCTTCATTAAATGTGCAAACTGAGCCCACAATTTGGATCTTTTGCCTAATTGCAACTTGGTATTACTCAGTATTATTATTATTAACATATGTGTTGAGTGACAATAACTCTGATAGATACTCAGGATACAGGTCAGATCGATGCATGTAGAGCCCCTATTTGCATGAAGCAAATGCCACGAGCATCTGGCTCACAAGTTCTGAAGTCTGACACTGCTCGCTAGGCTGATGACGGTAGTTTATCATGTGTGACTGGAGTAGAGAGATGAATAGCAAAGCCCTTTCATGGTTCCTGCCATCCAAGCAACAAACCCTCTGGCCTTTTCCTCTTTGCCCCCAAGCTAATCAGCATCTTTGTGGAGTAGGATCCAGGGATAAAGTCAACATCAAACTCTGTGGGTTCCAGAACAGATGGAGAACAGCTTACTAAGGGGCAGTTATGAACAGAAGGCATTGTACAGTTTGTTGGCCTCGGAGCCTTCTCAAAAAGGACCTGCGGTTTTGCATGCTGAAAGCCATTTTTTTTTCCTGCTTGTTATCTTTTACGTCACTCTGCACCCATGGGGAACCAGGAATGAGAGTTCCTAATGGTCCAGGGAAAAGGAGGAAAATCTACAAAAGGTGAAGTAGTTTTAAAACCCTTGATTCCTTTAGACTGCCAGCACCAAAAACGATAAATAGGAATGCCTGGCAAGAGAGGAAGGGAGACAGCTCTCTCCATGTCTGAGTTCTCTTGAGCAGGAGGGAGGAAGCAGGAGCATGTGAAGGGTTTTGCACAAGCCTGGCTCCTTTCCACTGTGCCAGAACTCCGTGACATTATGGGAAAGCAGGCATCGAGGGAGGACTCAGAGTTGGAAACTTTTGCTGCAGAGGCTATTACTGACCTGATAAGATTTCAGAAATGCCTCTCTAGGGAGAAAATGGGGGACAAAGATTTTCTTATATGTTTGGACATTTGTCAATTACATGCCTGCTATGGGCTGAACCCATGTCCCCCTTCAACTTTGTACAAAGCCCTTGTGTAGCCATCTCTGGAGACAGGGCCTTAAGGAAAGCCATGAAGGTCAAATGTGGTCATAATGGTAGGGCTGTAATCCAAGTAGACTTATGTCTTCTGTGGAAAATAGGCCCCAAGAAGTGTACTTGACTAGGGGAACAGTCCTGTGAAGATAGAATGAGAAAGCTGCTGTCTACAAGGCAGGAAGTGTGCCCACCCCAAGGACCAACCCTACTGCTACCTTCCTCTCCAACTTCCAGCTTCCAGAATAGTGAGAGCACAAAGTGTTACTGATGGAGCCACCCAGTAACGGTGTTGGTGGACCTGGCAAACCAACACAATGCCTGGTAATACCAGAAGGCGGGCCTTACTACACCTAAGTGTCGAAACTGCCTTCTGCATGCATTCAGCTCCAGAAAATGCTGGAAAGAACCCACTGCTAGATTTAGGCAGGCCCAATTCAAAGCCCAGTTGGTCACTAACTAGTTGAATCACCTGCAGCTAATTATTACCCCATTTATGTCTCCTCATCTGTAGAAGAATAATGGCAGACTCTACTGACAAGTGTGCCCTGAGACGGACTGCTTTCTCTAAGTAGAGCATGCGTGTAAAGGCGCACGGCTAGAACTCTAGAAGAGGCCTCGCTGTGGCAGAGACATGGAGGGTTTTGTTTGTGTATTGCATTTTCAGCTTACCAAGTGCTTCCGCAGCCATTCTTTAATTGGATTTTTATAGCAATCTGATGAGATTAGTGGAGAAGGACACGTGATACCCACTCAAGGCAGGAGGAAACCAAATCCTGAGAAGTCGAGCAGCTAGTCCAAGCTCAAATTTCTAATAAATATGGAGCCAAGTTTTCCATGAATGTCCCCTGGCCCCAAGTCTATGGCTTTATTGGTAAATGAGTACTCTCTCTGGTTCCTTCCTCCCTCCCCTTCTTTTTTCTTGTCATCTCCCTCCCCCAACACATACTGAGTTTCTGTCATGCTTTCAGAATACTTCTTTTTCCTTCCCCAGAACTCTGTTCTTTTCTCCTTTGCTTGTATGGACTTCAATATGAGCTGTGCAGTGTGAAAGCTCGCCTGAGAAAGCGGCAGTGTGCCAGTGCCTCTGCATCCAGCACTATCATCCTCACTGGGAGGGACCACCTACTTCGTGCCTCTTCTCCCCTGACTGCTTTGTCACTTAAAGAAGTCAGGGCTCAGCTTTCAAGGACATATTATAAATAGACCCGTAGCAGGACTGTCCTTTCTTATCGGTGAGCTGACACCAAGCACAGACAACTAGTCCACAAAGAAAGAACAGTGTCCAGGACGGAGCAGATAATCAATATCTTCAAATGATTTGAGAGCAAGTTTTCCCAAGGGGGAAGCGAGGGAGGCCTGACAATGACAGCCTGGGAAAGCTTTCTGGGATCTTCTGTGGAGGGGAGGGCATTGTTTAAAGAAACAGGTTTTAGATCACCATTTTGAAATTTGACAGAATGTCAACATGACCCTTTTATGCTCTTCCTACAAACTAGGAAAACTAAAGCTGTTCAGATGCTCCCTGGTCGCTGGTGTGATGTGGGAGTTGCAGTGACTCCCAAAGGGACAGGAGGGAGGCTTTGAATTATGAGCAGTGAGTTATTACCATGTATTTCTAACCACTAGAGACATGGATTTTATGTGAGGATGAGGTGGGGCCAGTACACATGTATGTGGAGGCCAAAACACCATCCCACGTGCCATTTTTCAGGGCTTTCAGTTTTTGTTTAAGACAGTGACTCTCTGGCCTGGAACTTACCAAGTGGGAGCTAGCTTGCCAGCAAGCCCTGGGATCCTCTTGATAACACCTCCCCAGTGCTGAGACTGCAAGGATGCCTCTATACCCAGCTCACTCGCCTGCCTGCCTTCTTTCTTTCCTTCTTTCCTTCCTTCCTTCCTTCCTTCCTTCCTTCCTTCCTTCCTTCCTTCCTTCCTTCCTTCCTCCCTCCCTCCCTTCCTTCGTTCTTTCTTTCCTTCCTTCCTTCCTCCCTCCATTCATCCTTTCATATCTCTTTCTCTCTCTCTCTTTCTCTCTCTCTCTCTCTCTCTCTCTGTTCAGTTCTGTGGCTGGAACTCAGGTCCTCTGACTGAGCTCTCTCTCTGCTCTCTCCCCAAGGATGAGAACATTTAAAAACTGAGAAACACTGTCTTGTGGAGTTTTCAGAAGAGAAGCAGGGCCTAAAAGGTTTTAGTTCCTGCCTGAAAAATCCCAGTAGAGTATGAGAAGCCCATCAAATGCAGCTCTTCTGTTTTGTAGATAATGCAGCTAGAACACAGGCGCCCCAGGCATAAGATCTAATATTATAACTAGATGTGCCGGGCCCAGTTCCCCCTTCAAATTGTGGTGAGAGAATATTAGTGGGAAAGACCAGAGAACTGCCAAGTCATTCTCTGCTCCAAAGACAGAAAATTCAAGTGTGCCCATCGGAAGCTACCTCCCACCAAGGACATCTGCCTGAAGGATGTCCCGAGGGAGAGGATCATCAATACAGATCTCTCCTGCCCTTCTAACTTGCTGCAGAAGGGTCTAGGGTGTTTCAGTGATTATTCCAGGAGCTAAAATAATGAATTGGAGAAGTAATGTGGATGAAGCAGCTGTTAGCTTCCCGTGAATGTAGATCCTGTTCCCATAAGACAGAGCACCTGCAGTCTGTAATTATTCTACCTAGCAAATCTCCCACACAATGCTGGTAAACCTCACCCTCATGCTTAGTCCTGGCTCTCACCCACACTCCAACCCCTCTTTCCTTGGTCCTCTTCCCAAATGACTCACGTTAGTTGTGTCATGTTACCATAAAGACTAGCCGCCACCTCATCCATGACCATCACGTGTCCCTAAACACGATCTTGATGTTACTCTTACATGAACCAAAACCCTGTACTTGATCGTGATTGTTAACCTTTATTTCTACTCTCACCATGGTCTTCAAACTGACGGTGATCACAAACAACAGCCCAACCTTCTCTGACCCCTCTCACCAAACTTTACCATTTCATTTACCATGTCTAGACTCTGAAGTTGACCTTTACCTGGAACTTGACCCTGACTCCATGAGAAGCAAGCAGGTGGATCACATCTCAACCACACACAGGAAACAGAGATGAACAGGGAGTGGGGTTAGGCTCTATATCCTCAAAACCCATGCCTAAGGACATTCTTCCTGCAGCAAGACCAC